TGGTCTTCCTCATAAAACCCTCCCCCCGGAGCCCTCTTCCCTTAACCCACCAACCCACCAACCAGCCAACTCTCCTCGTCCCTCCGTTCCCCCTTCCATCCTCACCGTCCTACCTCCATACGCTGTCCCCCTTCGCCTCCAGCCCCCAGCACACACAAACACACTCATGCACACGCACACGCGCACGCAACGCACACGTACCACACACCTGGATCAGCTGCCACTGAGCATCGGGGATTCGGGGGTGACGGGGGGGACGAAACCCCTCGCATGTCTGGAGCAGGCGGCGGGGTTTAAGGGCAGTTAAGGGGAAGTTAGGGGGCAATTCACCAAGGACATATTGGCTTCATGTCTTTACTTCGAACCCCGAGTCGAACGGCTTCATGATTAGCTCTGTACGGAAACCTAAAAGTCCAAACTTCTCCAAACTTTCCCAACTCTCCTCTCCCGGGGCCCCCATCCCTTCCCCCTCCCGAATCCACACATACACATACAGATACAGATACATGTACACACACTGCTACTGTTGGGCTTGGGAGGAGTTGCAGACTAAGGGGGTGGTGGTGTAGAGCAGACTGGGTGTTTAACGCTGTGTGGGTTGCGTATGCGTATGTTTGGTGCTGCTTTGAGGCGGCATTTCTAGCCCCGTCGGTGAACTGGTCGGTAGCTGCTGGCCTAGTCCGTGCCTGCCCCCCGTCACGTGCGCTAACGATAGGTGGCTAGCGCGAGTTTCTTGAACCCCGCCCGCCCCCCGCAACGGAGATTGGGGTCCTGAGAGACCGAGCTTCACATTAGGGCCTCGTGCCTTAGTAGGGAGGGGTTTAGGGTATGTACAGGGTCTCCGGTTTTCCTCTGTTGTAGTGGACCCTCACACACATACATGCATACCTACATAACACATACATACACACCTTTTTCGCATATTGTTGCGGATCCTTAACACCGATCTCCTGTCCCGCCTTCGTACCGCCAATGTACCGCACCAACAGCAGCTCCCGGGAAAGCAGCTCGTACATCATCACGCCAAACGAGTGAACTGCAAAGGACCGTTGGAACCGGTTGTTGTTGTTAGTTGGGATTCGTTGGAATTGGTTGGAGCCAGTTCTTGGTTTTAGAATGCTGCATCAATCTGTCTGTCTGTCTGTGCGCATCCCTGAGTATCTCCCCCTCATCAAACAGCAGCTTCCCCCCGTTGGGAGCTCAGACTTGTTGCAGCTCATTTGGACCGAAGGCTAAATCGTGGTCCCGACAAAACACACACACGCGTCCAGTGGCGGCATTGGTGGCCGCGTTCCTCCTTTCCAGTTTAAATTGTCCCCACGATAACCACGACAACCCTCCCCTGTTTCCCCCTCCCCCATCCAATCCAATCTCTAACACCCCCCCATCTCTCCTTCCCCCTTCCCTACGCACCGTCAACCTTCTCATTGTACGGCTCTCCCTTGAAGACCTCGGGCGCCTGAGTGGCGCAGTGACATACGGACAAACAGACAGACATATATACACACATCCGTTGGAGGGGAAAGCGAAGGGCCCCCCCCCACAAGAAATGTTTCAAGGTTGCAATTCGTCACAGGATATCCCCATCAGTTCAGATCCCGCCGTACGACGACCATCCAGCCTCAACGTTTCCCTCCAAGCACGAAGCGTTACGCCGAACAACGGATATACATACAAAAAAGCAAATTAACCCCCATTACCCCCCCGCTCCCGCGCCCGCCCCCCGCAGGACCAGCAAGCAATCTAACCTATCCCTTCGACAGTCCAGATCCCAACCCACACTTCCCCAGCCCCCCAGCCCCACCCCCTCCCACCATGTACATGCAGCTCCCCGCCTGCCCCGTGAGGCCGTACACCCATTGGAACTGACTTCCACGACGGAACTTAGGGAGGGTGGCGACCTTGAGGGAGCGGAGCAACGACTCCACCTGCAATGGTGGCAGTTAGTTGGTTTAGTGGTTGGTATTGGCAGTTGTGGACGTGGTTGGGGGCAGATTTAACACGTTCCACTTAGGTCCGCTGGCTGGTCAGGAAGTGGGATTCGGCATGATGCGTCCAATCATGGCTCCCCTCGCTCCCTCCTCATTCCCTTCCGCCCTTCCAACGCTAAGAGCTTCAAGACATGACGGTGGTGATGATGACGTGATCAGCCCTCTTTCCCATGCGGCCCTTCCCCACCTCCCTCTCCTCCACCTCCCTCTCCTCCACCTCCCTCTCCTCCACCTCCCTCTCCTCCACCTCCCTCTCCTCCACCTCCCTCTCCTCCACCTCCCTCTCCTCCACCTCCCTCTCCTCCACCTCCCTCTCCTCCACCTCCCTCTCCTCCACCTCCCTCTCCTCCACCTCCCTCTCCTCCACCTCCCTCTCCTCCACCCCCCCCTCCCTCCCCCCTCCTCACCCGCCTCATGGCGCGAGTCAGGCTTTCCGAGCGACCCAGCTCCCGCAGTGCGGGTCGGACAAGAGAAGATATGCCAAAGGAAGTCTGGCGGGGGTGGGGGTGTAAACGGGGGCCCAGGAGTTGGGGGGCGTGAGTTAGAGGTGTGTGTGTGTGTGTGCATAAGGGTGTATGAGCGTGTGAGCGACTGTGATAGGGACGAGCGCAAGGAAGATGGTACAGGTCAACACAGACAGGACGAGTAAGCTGTGTGCCGGTGTGTGTGTGTGTTACGATAATCTGAGCCGCGGGGCAGAGGACATGCCCTCGAGGGTACAGAGTGGCCACAAGCGGAGGGCTCCACTGAAGCAGTAAATGTCAACAGCCGTTGGGGTAAGGGGGAGAGGAGGAGGGCGTGTGCGCGGGCTGGGGGGTTGGGGGTTGGAAGAGAGGAGGGAGGGGATGCGACAACCCCCCAGCCCCAGCCATCAAAGACTCCCGTCCGCGCAACCCCCCTCCTCCCGACCTAACAGCCCGCTCCGCTCCAACTCACCCTGTCCCGGGAAAGCCGGCTGCTAATGGCGCCTGTGCCTGTAGCTGTAGTTGCGGCAGTGGCCGTAGCTGTGGGCGAGGCCGTCGGTGTCTCCCCCCGGAGCAGCTTTGTGTGTGTTTGGTCGGCAGCTGCGTCCCCTATCGCGACGGCGGGGGCAGCGGTGCTGGGCAGGCGGGTGGGCGGGAGTGGAGCCGGTGCGGGCGGGGGGGGTGGCGCAGCTGCTACGCCGACAAAATTAGCTGTGGTCTGCTGTTGCTGCTGCTGCTCCTGTTGTTGTTGTTGTTGTTGTTGTTGTTGTTGTTGTTGTTTGGGATGGGGTTGCAGCTGCTGAGGCCCCTGGTAGGGTTCGGGTTCCATGTCGATACGGCAGGTGGGGGCTGGGAGGGAGGTAGTCGATTGCTGCGGGGAGTGTGGGGGGCCAGGAGGTGGGAGTGGGGGGTGGAGGGGGGGTAGTCGAGGGGAGGGAGAGGGGGAGGGAGGCCGGTACGAGGTCGACGGCGGCCCGGCTCGGGGCTATCCGGGGCTTGGGGAACACTTCTCGGGGACAGCCGTTGGGTTTAGGCGGCACGTGACATGTACGACTGTACGACACACCGTCACCCACCCACCGTAACCAAACACCACCACCCGCGTCCGTACATCTTCGTCCCATTCCCCCACCTCCCCACCCGCCCATCCCCATCCCCACCAGCAAAAGCAGGTGCGATTCAGAAGTACGAGCTCCACCACCGCCGCCGCCACCCAACCTGGGCGACAGTGCCCCCAACCCGGCTCCTGCCGCCGCCACCGCCCGCCGCCAGCTCTCCCGTACACTGCCCGCAGCAGCTGTCAGAAGAAGACGGCCCCCTCCACCACCACCACCGCCGCCACCACCACCACCAGCACCGCCGCCTTGGTTCTGGTTCTGGTGCTGATGTGTGTGTTGTTGGTGTTGATGGTCGAGTGGTTCCTGGGGTCCCCGTCGTTGTGGCGGCGGCGGTGGTGGTGGTGGAGGTGATGGTGGAGGTGCTGCTGACGGAGGTGGGCATGTTTTCTGTTGGCTTGGTCCCTGACCCGGGATGCTACCCGGGAGGCGGTGAGGATCGTGGGGGGCGGCTGCAGCGGCGGCGGTAGGGACGGGGGCGGAGGCGCTGGTGGGGAGAGGCTGGTGACCAGAGTCATCCGGTTCCTGCAGCGGTGGGGGGGGGGGGACGGGGTGTGTGTGTGGGGGGTGTTGGGGGGGGGCAGGGCACACGTTTTACCACACGACGGTGGGTGCTGAGGGCAGCAAACCAGCTCTGCTGGTGTTCTAGGTCCAGGGGGGCCCGGGGGAGTCAGCGGAGGCCCTTCAGGGTCTGGCGTGGCGTGGCGCCATCCGGGCGGCGGCAAGACTAGGCAGTCAAGCCACGGGGGTGTTGTGCCGACATACCCCCGTATCGCAGCACAAACACACACAGACACACACACACAGACACACAGACAGGCACACACACAGACACAGACAGACAGACACACAGACAAACACAGAGACAGACACACAGACACAGACAGACACACCACCACAAGCACCACCCAGTTGCCTTTCGCCATTACAACACCGTTTTTTCTACTGGCTATTGACATCACTCTCCTAGTCAACATCTACATCTACGTGAAATTTCCAGCAGCTACGAAGTTTTTACATTTTCACAACAGATTATTATCCAAACACACGTCGCTGGTGACTATTCAGAAAACATCGTGGATGTCCGCCGTCATCGCCATTTCGCTGTAGCGGCTGGTACTTAGTACGGCACACACATCGTCTACAAATACGCGCTGCGACGCTCCACCAGCAACCGGAGAGGCCTTTTCAGCAGCGGCCAGCTACGATATTCCCCCTCAGCGCGGCGTCAGATCACTTCAATACCCAGGCGACACGACACGACATCCAGCACACACAGAGCCGTACGCTTACCTGGATGGTGTACAGCATGTGGTGGTTGTGGTGGTTGCGACCCGGCGCCGGCCGGCTGACGGAAGATTGCAGCAAGCTTAGCGGCGCCGTCGTCCCCCCGGCCGTGTTCGTGGTTCCGGAGCTGGTCAACGTCACGGTGCCGTTGAGAGTCATGGCTCCGGAGCGGCAATCGCTGCCGTCTGTGGTTGTCGTATCCTCAGCGGACAGCGACCGCTCCGAAATCGGCGCCAGCGGCGGCGCGTGGTGAGGGCCGTGACCCAGGCTCTGACTGTACTGCAAGGAAAATGGCGACGGCGGTGCAACGGCGGTGGTGGCGCCGCCGCCGCCGTCTGCACGCGCTGACGGCCCCGTCGCTTCTTCCTGCTGACTGGCGGCTGCGGGACCTGCCGCCACAGCGGAGGCCGTGATGACGGGTGTACTTTGAGAAGTCGGCTGCTGCTGGTTTTGCTGTTGTTGCTGCTGCTGCTGTTGTAAGAAATCGCGAAATGGGCTGGGGCCGTCGGCATAGTGCCGGTCGCTACCTCCGCCACCTCCTGATCCTCCTCCTCCGCCGCCGCCGCCGCCAAAGCCCAGGCCCGCTTCCGTACCCGGTGGATGCGGCGGCCGTTGCGGCGGGCAGCCACCACTGCCACCTACGCCGCCAGCAGGCGTCGTGGCAGTGGCGATGGCGGCGGCAGCAGCCGCCGTCGTCACCGCCGCCGCCACCGCCGCCGCCTCTCCGTGCGCGGCCCAACTCCCTGCGTGTTCCCGTGTACCTGACAGCCGAGCTCGCACATTGTTGGCCAGAGCGGTCCGGTGCAGGTAAGTCGGTGACGGCGAGGTTGACGAGGAGGCGGCCACGTCGACGGCAGCTGCATGCGTGCCGCCGCCGCCGCCGCCGTCGCCGTTAGTGGCAGCGGCGGCGGCACCGGCTCCGTAGCTGCTGATGCTACGGCCCCGCGACGGCTTCCGTTGGTTACTTCCCAAACGCTTCGGCGGCCTGACGGGGGTGGTTGTGAAGCCCATGAACGGCATCCGTACTTCCTCCACTCTCTGGCCGCCGGCGGCGCCGCCGACTACACCAGCGAACAATACCTGTACGGCTTCATCTTCCCCCGCGCCTGCCGGCGCTGCGGCTGCGGCGGCGCCGGCGGTGCTATCACCTTCCGTCGGCGCCGCACGACGGCGGATGAGTACGGAACGGTTGGCGCATACCCGTACACCGAGTCCCAGGTCCGCCAGCTTGGCGTTGAGATTCTGACGAGGCCGGAAGCTGTCGCCGCCGCCGCTGCTACTGCCGAGGCGTTTCCGCGGTACTCCTGCCCTCAGCTGCTGGGGGGTGGGCTGCCAAAACCCCGGTATGCTGCTGGGCCTTGCGGGCTGTAGCAATATGTTTTCCGGCTGATAACACACCGCAAAAAGAGGGACGTGCCGGGCTTTAGGGTTTTAAGGGATTAATACAATAAAAGGACAGTGAACTGCAATGGCGAGTCGTCATTTCAATAGGCGAAAGGGGTGGGGGCTGAGGTGTGGGGAAACATCTCGGACTGTCTGCTGCATTTACTCATCCAACAAAACCCCCCTTCCTCTCCCCAACCTCCCCCCCCCGCCTGCCCCCCTGGAGTCGTCAATTCCTCAGACATAGCGGTGATACCTCCCAGCCCCGCCTACCCGTACCTCTCACACACACATGAACATATACCCATACCAAGCCCCCCTAGAAAATGTCGGGTTCTTCCCCCCCCACATAACGCCCCACTGGGCTCTCTCCACGCTCTCCCCGCTCCCCCCACCTTAATATCCCGGTGGATGATCGGCATATCCAAATTGTGAAACTGCTGAAGGGCCGAGGCCACCTGGGGCCGTACAGGAAGGGAGGGAGGGGTGTTGGATGGAGCTGGGAAAGGGGAAAGTGGGGGGCAATGCAACGCTCAATACAGCTCAAGATGGCCCACGGTGATTTAATTCCCATGCCCTCTGTTCTCACCCCCACTCGTATATGTACCTGGGCCAGCCAGCTCAGCGCCTCCCGTACCGAGTACTGGTCTTCTTTGTAAACCAGCTGAGCCAGCATGAGGTCCTTCAGCGTGCCCCCCTGAGGGGGGTGAGGTGGGGGGTTGTGAAGTGGGGGGGGAAGGGGTGGAGGACGGGGAAGAGGGGCGAAGAGAAAGAGGGTCGCACTCACAAGCAACCTCAATACACACACAGAAACACACACACAAACACATAGCACAACCAAACCAACCTCGCAAAACTCCAGCAGCATGCCGTACGTGTCGTACGTCAGGCCGAGCTCCGGGAAGTCCACCATGCGCATGCGGATCAGTCCCGCGCACCGAATGACCGCACTGCCACACACGGGTGTACGGGTGTACGTACGTATGTATGTATGCGTAAGCCGCACATGTGTGTGAGGCCGCCACGCAGGGAAAGAGATGTCGGGAAAGGGGAGAGCGAGAGGAGGAGAATAAAATTACAGAGCTGCGGTACGGCACGGTGCAGTACATCACGAGTGGCCAGATGTGCTCCCATAGAAAATTCGCATGGCAACAGATGACGGTGTTGGCGATGGTGAAGATGGTGGCCGCCATGCCAGTGGGGGTGGGGTGGGGTGGGAGTAAGCCGAACCACTGGCGAATGAAGCAGATACCAGAGATGGATGGATATAGTCCAGGAGATGGCAAATGCTGCATCAGGAGTATTTATTGACCAGTGATGACTCTGATTAGTAGTCTTGGCGGCGACGTGGCCAGCGAGGTTGTGAGACGCGTGGGAGGCGAATGGTGATGGTGGTGGTGGTGGTGGTTGCAAGGGTCATAACGGCGTCGGCGGCGATGCCCACTTCCCGGCCCCTTATCGCCCATGCCCTCCCGCCCTCTTTCCCTCCCTGGACTCGTGTTCCCCTTGCTCTTCCCGTCTCTCGCGGAAAAACTCTAACCGGTCTGATGACGGGAGGGAACGTCGTACACGCACAGGACGACGCGGGCAGACGGGCAGATAGACAGACGGACGGGTGCACGGTCCCGGCTGCTGCCCGTCCCGTCGAGATAGCGGGCTCCGTCTTCACCGGCCGAGCCGGACTGCTCATTTCGTCATGAATAATCTAGAGCCCACCCTTCTCCCCAGCATCCTGCCCTTTGCTCCTTCTAGAAAGCTCATTAGCTGTTGCTGTCCCGTATGATAATTTCCAAAGCTCGGTTGCGGAGGCGGTGGGAAGTTGTCCAATTCTCGTTGTGGGGAAAAGCCCATGATTGCACCGCCACTTCGGCGCTGGCTTTCCGGACGGCTTTCTATGGGACTCTTTTGGTGCCGTGGCTGGAGACAAAACATACGCCAAGGGGAGGTTTTGCATAGCACAAGAATAACGCAGTAGGTTCGGCGTAACGCCCATGGAAAGCAATCCGTTGTGCACGCAAAGGCGTGCCCGTTGGACAGCGATACGGTAATATTTACATTTAACGTTATGATAATATTCGCATATTTTGTAACTTATACCTGTGCTTCATAGAAAGCAGGGATACGCATTCTCGGATAAAGAGTCTGACAATCGGCGCAGGAGGAAGCGTTCCGCCTCGAGGCTGCAGCACCTTGCAGGCACATTGCTGACCGTCAAAAGCAGCCCTCCACACCGTTGCGAACCTGTAGACCAGCATGGAACAAGGCATGGCGACGGACGCTGCACAACTGCGTTGTCCCCCGCGAGGAGCTGTAAGGCTGGGACATTTCGCTCACCCGCCTTTCCCAACGATATTATCCAGCTCCAATAGTGAGCCTACGTCCTCATCTGGACAGGCCAGAAGATCCTCAATAGGGTGTTCCAAAGTCACATCGAAAATGCTCATTGTTAGGTTCGACGTCGTCCAAGCGAGGAAATCTTCAAGATGAAATGTTTCAATCGAGTGATAAACGCTCCAAACCAATGAAAGCAACCGCTTAAGTGATCCGAAAAGTCGTCTACTTTCGGAAGTACCAACACAGCTCAGGTTTGGTGGTTCATGAAAGGCATATTAAGGGAAAGTAGCATCCTTAGATGCCTAAAAATGACACATGCGCGTGCAAATTCTTTTTGGTCCGGCTGGCGGTTAATCCAGTACATGCCGTACGGAGCCTGTACAAAGAACAGCCCCACGCAAATAATGGAGTAGAATCAGTATTGAAAGCGAGCATGAAATATGTTAAAACTAGTATGCTGCTTTGCTGTAGACTAGAAATCCGCATTCGCATCCCGTCATGCCCAGCCCACCAGGCCTTTTTGTATCTAATGACAGACATCGGCACCTGGACGCATAATTTTCTGCATAATTGCATTGAATCAAATTTTAACTATGCCATCCGGACAATCAGTTAATAGCGAGGTTCGAGCACAAATAGCAGCTGTGCAGTGGAAGCACGGGTGGCACGGGGACGTTGCGCGCAACCTCTGCACCCATCCCCGTCAAGACCAGAGGGAGAAAATCACCCAAGGATAATTTATGATTGATAGTTGGTAAAAGGCGTCCAACGTTCTTGGTGTAATGGAGCTACGATCATTGGTACTTTCAGATGGCCCGAGAGAGTAGATTCGTTTACAAACGATTATAGTTTCATATCTAAAATGATGCCATCTCAATAACACACTCATTTCCGCCTCATGAAGGCAGCCTTGGGCGCTCCATACTATGCCAGGCGATTCCAGCATCCGCGGGGTGCCGTACATTGTCGAAACTGTCGGTTTTATGGCTGGCTCGCTGAATGTTTTCAAGGGAAGGAATGCTCTGGGTCCAGGGCTCGCCCCCCTGAGGTTGACAAAACGTAGGCAGAGTTGTTTCTGGAAAATTGGTTAGCATTTTCGTTATGATGCTGCAGACGCAACTGCAGTTGGGTGCCCATAAAAAGGATATCTGGATGGGGTTCAGAAATGGATAAATGGATACGGGATGGCGTCCATAAAAATGATACCTGGATGGCCAAAAGGGCAGATCACCAGAACGCCAGGGCATTCGAGTTTCCTTTGTTCCGAACTTTTCACTGCTGTGGTGCCCCAATCGTGTCCCAATCGTGCAATTAATCCATGCTGTTTGACCTTTTACATAAAACTGACATGATGACGCTTTTACCCAATGAGCTGCCATTTGAGATAATGGGGCACTTGAAACATGGGGCCCTTGGAATATGGACCCAAAAACTGCTGTAGTTTGAGAAATGCCGGCGAGTCCTGGGCACAGCAGCGCAGTCGCTCTCACATTGGAATCCATAGTAAATATGGACATATGCATACTACGTTTAAATCATACCTAGGGTACGCACTGGATGGGTGAATGGATGGTTACAAACTCCACTAGCTTGTACGGTCCAGACGAACCCAAAAGCTCGTGAATCGCTGGTACATGCTTGTACGAGCATTAAGGTTCGTTGTGGATCCATTAACGGCCAATACAAATGAATGTGTATCATTTTGCTTAGTCCGAATGTATACTGTCTTTCGCTTCCAGCACAATTCCCGATTGTTTAAGGACATAATGGATATGACGTCGATACAAATGCCGAATGACATGTTTGCGTTCAGTGAAGGACTCTAAATATAAATCAGTTCCGCGATTGGATGCCTAAACGATTGTTCATATCCCTTTTGGCAAGCCACCGACCAAAGCATGGCAATATGTGGCAGGCGCTCTTTACTAAGGAGTCTATGCGTTGCAAGGAAAGGCTTTACATGCTTATGCCAAGCGGGGCAATTCGCCATGGCATCTGCAGCGGCTCATCGGCAAGTTGCGCATCCGCATCTTTAAAGGAACTGCCGGTCGGCACCTCGAGCCTTTGGTGCCTGCTACTCTTAGGTAAAACAGCAAAAGCATAACGTTCGTCACGTTCTATAGGGCAGCTCAGGGGCCATGCAGGCTGTCCCGGGGCAGGGCCTGCGGCTATGATGACCCAGCGGTTTCGGGGCAAACAGGCCGATAGGCAGGCAGCGACTTCTGGCCGGGTTACGACAAGAGGTGGCTTATCTCAGACCTGCTGAAAATAAGGCCGCGAAGATGTCTTCAATGCGCGAGGGCTTTTGCTGCTAGCTGTACCTGAGATGATGCGTACTGCTCAGCGCTGTGTCGTGAAGGGGGCGAGGTGCTTTAGGGGGGAAGAGGGAGAAACGTGGCAGGTGCCCCCCCCCAGCTATATCTCCCCTCCCTGATCCTTTCCTCCCCTTTTTCCTCAACTCCGCGGGCTGGGCGAGTGAGTTACGCTTTACACTGGCAAGCGCTCTCTACGAATACACACACATACATACAGACACACACGCGCACGGATGTACGTACATTCAAACGTACGTACACCCCTACACATGCTCGCATCATGGCCCTACATCCAACACGGATCCGTCGTAACCCTAAACGTCATCACCAATCATCGCCACATGAAAACCGTAACCTTAAAACCCCTGACTCGTGTTAAAACCTGTAACCGCCGCCATCCGCAGGGCGCCCAGGCTGGTGTCCACTACACCGCAACGTCGGGAGCAGCAGCAGTTGCGGCAGCGATGGCGGTGACTGCGGCGGCGGCGGAAGTGCTAGCAACAGCAGTGGAAGTCACGGCTGCTGCGGGGCGCCAAACACCACCAGCAGCAGCAGCAGTAGCAGCGGCAGTAGCAGTAGCGGCATGAGCTCCCGGGGCCTCCGCTTCCCTCCACTTGGCGGCCCCCTTCACGGCGGCCCCATCCGGCACGTGCCACTGCCCACCGTCCGACAGACCAACACGTTCCCTAACGACACCACGACCTTGATGCCGTTCACAAACCCCAACGACGACAACAACATCATCATCAATAACATCATTGTCAGCAACAACATGATGATGGCCCCCACAAAATTCCAGAGCGGGATATCCGACATGCTGCTATCCGGCCGCCGAGCCGGTGCCGTACTCTTGCCGCTGCAGCCTGCTCCGCTGCCGCGGTTCCTCGCGTCCGCGGCCCGCCGCCCTCCTCGGCCTCCTAGCCCTAGCCCTCGGGACAGTCCTCGGGACAAACAAAAAAAACAGGGTCGTTATGTGCGACCCCCGGCGCATGCCCTGCGACCCATGGGTCATAGCCATCTTGCTAATGACATTGCTGTTTCTGTTCGTGGCCAGCGATACAGGGCCGTCCAGGGAGCCCCCTCCAACTACAACAATATAATCAATGATGGTTTGGGTGATGGTGGCGGTGGTGGTGGTCGTGGTGGTGGTGGTGGCCGTGGCGGTGGTCGTGGTGTTTACGGCCGCAACCAGCAGCAGGATTTTGTACCCAGCAGGGACACGCAGCGCGCCGCCATTCTGGCGGCCGGGAACCGATATCAGGACATCCTCAAGGTGCGTACATACATACATACTTACATACGTATGTACAACACATGTATGTATATATGTATATCCTCGTATTGGTGATGTACATGCACCTGGATGTCCGTACATGGATACATGAATGAGAGTCGCATCTTGTTTGTTGGTTGGTCGGGCCGATTGTACGACGACACAAAGTGTGATATTCATGGATGGCGTGTCAGGATGGTGGGTGACGAGATTTCGTCGGTGGTTGCGCCCGGTGTGGGTGCACGTCACCCAGCCTAGGCAGCCATTCCTCCCTGTGGGAAATGCCGCCCTGTGGGCGGTGGGCGAGAATATGGTCCTATCTGTTGCGTTCTGGCTTTAATACTGGTCAGGTCTGTGTCGTGTCCGTGTCATCCAATCAGGTGAGAAATATGGATCTGGATCCGCCGTACCTCCTCGTAGCTCCCACCATGTGCACGTGTGAAAGTATGTGAGTGTGCGTGTGTTTGTAGCTGGCTTGAACCGCCGTGCATTGCCTTTACAGCACATTGTACGGTACTGCATTGCCGTACAGGTGGTTCATGATGTAGACAACAGGCGCAGCAGCAGCACTAGCAGTAGCAGCGGCGGGGAGGGCGGGGAAGGTCTGACGCCTGCCAACGTGGCTGTGGCAATACACCGACTGGGCAGCTGCGGGGTGCAGGCGGGGAGCCAGGAGTCGGTGGCGCTGCTTAGTGACCCACGGTTCATTAGGCTGGAGGAGCTGGCAGGTTGGTGACTGAGGGCTGGGCGAGGGGGAGGGGACTCTTCATCCTCACATTGAGTTACGGGTTTTAGGGTTTTAGATTTTGGCAAACCCCGGCTCCCGCCTCCCCTTGTTTTCCCCTGTCCCGGGCCCCCCGGGTCTCCCTCCTTCTGGATAGAGCGTTACGTGTCGTCCTTCTCCGGCCACCAAGTCGCCCGGGTGATGTGGGCACTTGCCAAGTTAGGCTACAAGCCCCCGGCGCTGCGGCAGGAGCAGCACCTCACCAACTACCAGCAGGCATCAGGCAGCGGCAGGAGCATTAACATCAGCAGTAGCAGCAGCAGCAGTAGCAGTAGCAGTAGCGGGAGCAGTAGTGGACGCGGATGGGGACCGTTGCATGGGTTGTGTATGCGAGCAAAGGCGACAGTGGCCACGGAGTTCGAAGCCCAGCACGTGGGGCTGATGCTGTGGGCTCTCGGAACGCTGGGTGAGAGAGGGGGGGCCGGAGAGGGGGGGCCGGAGAGGGGTTTGTACGGCGGGTATGTGTGTGTGTGCGCGGATTTATGTTGGTGCGGTGCGGGTTCCGGCCTGGCTTGGTGGCTTGGTGGGTGGGGGGGGTGGGTGGGTGGGGGGGGAAATCCTAAAACCCGACTCCTTCGCTCCTTCCCCCCTCCTGCCAACCTCTCCTAGTCCCCGAACCCTAGGGATACCGACAACACCCAGAGCAGCCTACCGATACATTCCTGGTAACGCCACTTGGCCTTTCTGTGTGTGATGTGGCTCTCGTAGGATCAGGCTACCTCTAATTGATTGTTTGTATGTCTGTCTATCGGTCTGTCTATTTGTCTGTCTACCTGTCTGTCTATCTGTCTGTTCATTCGTACACCTCCGCAGGCCACACTCCCGGGCAGCCCCTCCTCCGTGCGCTCACCGCTCGGCTGCTGGTGGCGCTGAAGGAAGAGTACGGCGGAGGCGGAGGCGGCGGAGGCGCCGAGAAGTTGGGAGGTCACAACATGAAGACGGCGCCGCCGCCGCCGCCGCCGGCCCCCCGGGTTGCCCCGGCAATAACAAAAGCGGGGGCCCGGTGGGTAGGGGCACCTCACCTGATGGAGGCCGAGCAGGGCCCCAGCGAGCAGTACGGACAGTACGAGCAGCAATTGCCTTCCCCCCTTCCCGGTCCCCAAGCGGTGTCCATGTCCCTGATGGGTTTGGCCAAGTTGGGTTGGACCCCAGGGTGGGAGTGGCTGGAGGAGCTGACTAAGAACCATATGCCGCTGGTACGGCAGTTCAGTGCGCAGGTGGGCGAATGAGGGCGTTTGTGTGTATGTGCGCGGGGGGAGGGGGACACCAGCCCGAGGGGTATGTGGGGGGTGGGGGAGAACTCAATTGTACATGCATACATACATGGATACATACATGGATACATACATGGATACATACATGGATACATGCATGGTTACAGACAGATACACGTACACACGCACAATGCACACCGCGCAGATACCCCGGACGACGAGGGGCTCAGGGGCATTTAGTGGTTGCTTCGCTTCGCCGGAATGATGTCTTGGTACCTCTGCTGACTGCTGACACGCACCTACCTGCCCACCCAATCATCCCTCCCAATCATCGATCTCAGTTCATTGAGTGCTTTCATTTTCCCCTTCCCCTCCCTCCCTCACACCCCTTCACTCGTTCGTGGTTCGTCTTTCCCCCCTCACACCCCGCTCACCCCCCCTCACACCCCGCTCACCCCCCCTCACACCCCGCTCACCCCCCCTCACACTCCCTCAGGAGGTTTGCAGCTGCCTCTGGTCGCTGTCGAGACTGGGCCACCGCCACCCCCAGCTGCAAGGCGCCCTGTACGCCCAGGTGGGTCGGGGGGAGGTGATGTGCCAAGGAATACCTTTTGAAGGAATACCTTCAAAAGAAGGAGCTTCGAGGACTGACAGACTGACAAACTGGCAGAGGGACATCACTCGAATGGCCCTCACTGCCCCTCTTCCCCGCCCCCAGCCCTGCCTCCGAGCTCCTCACCCCTCACCCCTCAACCCCCCCCGCCCCCAACACCCAATGGGCCATTGGGTTGTCGGCGGTTGTTTCCGTCACACCCGTACCCGTATATATCCCTTCTAATCCCCATACACACAGAGACGTACATACATACGTACACCTGCACATGTTCACATCCCCCTCCCTCCCCCCCTTCCCCCCCCACCCGCACCAGGCCCTGTCGCGTGTATCAGACCTCACCCCCCCGCACATCTCCACACTGCTGCTGGCGGCTACTCGGCTCCAGGGGAACCGAGCCGCCACTCGGCCCGATAAGGGCTATATCAGCAGTAGCAGCAGTAGCAGTAGCAATCAGAAGAAGAAGAAAAAGAAGAAACAGATAAAATTGGATCCAGACCAGGAGGGCCTTATTCCGGAGGAGCTACTGGAGCAGTGTTGCGAAATGTCGTCCAAGAATCTCAGGGTAGGTGGTGGTTGGGGGTGTAGATGGATGGGCGTGTGTTGTGGCAGGTGAATTATGGCGGGATGTCGTACGGTCGGGGGGAGTTGGCCCCAGATGTGGGACAACCCCTCTCCTCCCCTCCCCTCCCCTCCCCTCTGGGCGAGGCATGGCGGCTTCAGCGTGGGGATCCCCGTCAGCACCGTCACCACCTGACCTGACCTGACCTGACCGGGGAAGGGGGGCCCTCGTTGTCGATATGCACCCACACGCAACCTCTCCTTCTTCCCCATACTTCTCCCCGGTGTGGGGCCAGCTGAGTCTCTGCTGCTTCTCACATCATAGAATAGTAAGGGGTGCTGGCCACCCCTTGATGCGCCCTCACTCCCACTCCCATTCTCACTCCCACTCCCACTCCCACTCCCACTCCCACTCCCACTCCCACTCCCACTCCCACTCCGCACTCCCACTCCCACTCCCACTCCCACTCCCACTCCCACTCCCACTCCCACTCCCACTCCCACTCCCACTCCCACTCCCACTCCCACTCCCACTCTTCGGGAAGTAAAGGTGGTCGAATCACCTCAATAAATGTTTAGTCGATTCCGAGGGCTCTCTCTCCGCGACTCCCCCCCCCCTTTTCTCCCCCCCCGTTCACAATCAGCTGATGGCCCCCAGGGACCTGTCCAACATGATGTGGGCACTTGCCAAATTAGGCTACCCTCACCAGAAGCTCTTATGGAGTGCGGCGCACGAGGCGGGCTTGCAGCTGGAGGCGGAGGTGCAGGCGGCCGCGGAGGAGCTCAGCAGCCGCAGTACCAGCCGGACGGGGCGGAAGGGGGGAGGTGGCGGGTCTACTGCCGCTGCTGCTGCTGCTGCTGGCGGCAGTAGCGGCAGTAGCGGTGACTTGCGTTCTTCCTCCAGTTGGTCCGGTACGGATATCGCCAGGTTGAGTTGGGCGTACGTGAAGATGGAGTTTGTCCCTCGGGAGCCGTACTTGGAGCAGGTACGGGTAGTTGTTGCGGTTGGCGGTTGGGAGCTTGGGGGAAGACAGGGCCCAGGTTGAAGCCGCGGACATGCGATCCGTCCATCACAGACTTCACCATCATTATCACGATGCGCTTCTCACCCTGCCCGACCCCAACCCACCACATTCTACTAAGTACTCTGGAGCACCGGAAGGGGAGTCTGAAGGTCAATCAGCACCGTGGGAGTATTCATCTGGTACTGGTCGTCTAGTCGTTACTCCCCCCCCTTTCCCCGCCCCCGAGCACGGGGGACTTTCCTAGGGACCGTGTTGGCAATAAAGAGGAGGGGCTCGCCCAGGGGGGGGGCTTGGGGTGTACAGTCCCACCTAAACTAACGAAAGTTGTGAGGCAGACAGCCCTCGGACCGTAGGGCATTACGGAGAGCTCTGCGCCACCTGCACCACCTGCATCTGAGCATGATAGGCTGTTTACGCGGTTTCGTCGTTGATTTGGACTCGGTCCATTGGCAGTTTGCGGCTTTGTCGTCGGTTGGCAGCTGTTGGTTTACCTTCACTTGACTTTGCATAGCATATATTTTGGGGCCGCCCCCCTGCACTCAGTCCTCGGATGTTTGTTGTGGTGATGATGTTTATGGTGATGATGGTGTTGGTGATAATTCCCTCTCCTGCCCACCATCGCCCCCCTTTCCAATGCTCGCAGATCTGTCTCCACATGTCTAACCGTCAACTGTTGTACGGATACTCCTGGACAGACCTCGCTCAGTCCGTGTGGTCGCTGACGTCCGCGGGGTACTGCGTCCCGGCTGTGTTGGCGGTGGTGGAGCGGGAGGTGGTGGCGCGCATGGCGGCGGCGGGGAAGGCGGCAGCGGAGGCGACGGAGTTGTCGCAGGGGCAGCGCCAGCGGCAGCTGCCGCCGCTGCCGCAACCGGGGGAGGCCGCTCAGCTGTTGTGGTCGTACGGCAAAGTACAACACCCCGCACCTGCGCTGTTCGCTGCGCTACTGCCTTTCCTGTCACATCGCCTCGCGGATACCAGTTTGCCTGACGTCTGCATTTCGCTATGGGCGGCGGCAAGGATGTACGGCACCGATGGCGGCAGCGGTCAACGCAGCGGCGACGTCGGAAGCAGTAGCGGCGTGTACGACAAGGAGTTTATGAGCGCTGTCGCCTATCACTTCCTTCGCTCAGACAATCGCGTAGCGAAGCAGATGCAGGCGCATGATGTGGCTACTGTTGCATGGGCGTACGGCAGGGTACGACATGAGGCACGGCCGCTGTATGACACACTAGTAGAGCGCGCGTTGTTGCATGGCGAGACGCTGCCGACACGGGAGATGGCCTGTATCGTGGCCGTCACCGGTATGTTTGGCTGGCACTACCCGAAACTGGTGAAGGCTGCAGAACAGCGAGTCGAGGTCCTTTGCAGACAAAGGGGCCTTATTCCGCCGCCACCGCCGCCGCCGCCGCCAAAGGGTGGAAAGAAGAAAGCCGTTAAGAAAGGGCATGCCCAGAAGCAGCCCCGGCCCTCCGCAACCGCCCCAACTACCTCAACCGCCACGTCCTCTTCTTCCTCACCTCTTGCGGGGACGCACTTCAAGGTTTCGGAGCGAGACCTTTGTCAGCTGGCGTGGGGGTTGAGTCTGGTGGGTCGATGTACCCCCGAGCTGTGGAGCCGTACGATGCTGCTGTTGAGCGACGTCGTACGGCGGCGGATAGGGATGGAGACTGCGCATGAGCGGCAGCAGGCAGCGCAGCAGGGTGGCGAGGGCGGCGGCGGCGCTGTCGCTGACCGGAACACTAGCAGCGGCACTAGTAGCCGCAATTCCAAGCGCGGCCTGGCTGGTGCTGGTGCTGGTGCAGGTGCTGGTGCTGGTGCTGGTGCAGGGGCTTCTTCCGCGGCTGTAGGTGGCGTTGGCAGCGGTGTGGTGGCGAATTTGCTGTTCGAGGACGGCGCTTCCGGAGAGGAGCTCGTGCAGCTGTACCAGGTGAGTGCGTGCGTGCGACGTGAGTTTGGGGGGTGGTGGTGTAAATGTGAAGGTGATGGAAATGGGAATGGGGATTTCCTGGGTGGGTGCCGGTGTTGGTATTTTTTATCATCATTTAGGGGTCTTATGTTACATGAGCGGGGCTAACCCTACCCTCCCTCAGCATCACTTGGACAAACCCCCCTCCCCCCCTTTCCCTGAGCTCCCTCCCTCCGCCCCTCCCCCTTTCCCTCCCTCCCCCTCCTTACGTCTGGTACACTCCTGCCCTGGCAGCAGCTTCACTTGTTCGTGGTTCGTCTTTCCCTCCCCGCCTCTCCCCCCTTTTACCTCCCTCCCTTCCCTCCCCTCCCTCCTTGCATCACGTAGAACCCTCCCCTCCCTTTTGCAAGTATGATGTGTGGAACAGGGGGGCATACCTTCACCCGTGGCAGCTACCCTGCGAAACCCTGCCTTCCCCGGTATTTCGGGGCACCCTCATTTAGTCACCCTAGTCAAAGTCTCAGTGCATCGCGCACGTTCCGCACCCACCTCCAGCATCCAACGGAATCTCCCGGCGGCAGACTCCATCGACTAGGGGTACTTTACCCTCCACCATCGGAAGAATCTTCGACCTTGACAGGTCTCGATCCCGGGATCTCCCGGGGCCAATGGTCCGTGAATTACCAGTAGTGCCTAATCTAATGTAACACGTATGTAAACCTTTCGACGTGAGATGTGCCTATCACCTTCCCTAACCACCTACCTAACCACCTCCCTAACCACCCCCGGCTGTTCCCAGGCCTCCCTCAACATCCAGCTGGACCACCCCGGCGTCTCCCTGGAGCCCGCACCCGCCGGAATGCTGACGCGCGGGGCCAAGCTGTGGCGGTTTCGGAGCGGAGCGGGTAGGGCCGCAGCGGGCTCCCTGGAGCGGGAGGTGCTCGCGACGCTGCGGAGAATGGGTCTCTCCCCGGTGGTGGAGGTGAGGGCGCCTTGTGGGTTCTGGAATCAGTCTAACTGCTCACAGGCACGTCTTGTTCGCGACCTCGTCTGCAACTAATACTTAGTTTTCAATTCCGGACTGATCTTCCTGACTAAACTTTCATATCGTGTCCTGCTGCTGATGGCCTAATTAGTTGGGGTGTCTGTGATTAGGGATTAGGCTCTGACGGGTTCGTATGCTATCTGGCGCCTGATCAAACTTCACCACTGCGTGCTGTACGGCAAGACTTCATAGCCCATGCTCGTCCTGCCGTACCATCATGCTGTCGTACTGCCGCCACGCAGGTTCCGGCGGAGGCAGACGGCCTATCGTTCATTGGTGTAACGCAGGAGGTACGATCGCCAACGGCACCTGCGGCGGCGGCAGCAGCTACTGCCGCCACTGGCGCCGCCACGGTTCTCGATGCCGGCAACCTGCCTCCCGTACTCCGCAAGCAGATTCGTGTGGCTGTGGAGGTGGATGGTCCCGAGCGCTTTACCGCGAATACTTGGAAACCGCTGGGTACTACCTTGTACCGCCGCCGCTGGTTGACGGCGCACGGCTGGACGGTCGTGAGTGTGCCGTACCGGGAGTGGCAGTTGGCTATGAGGGATGAGGCGAAGGAAGCGCTGTTGGCAAAATGCCTGAGAGAGGCGGAGGTGCAGCGGGGGAGGGAGGCGGAGCTGCTGATGAAGGCAAAAATGCCGAGCGACACAACCGGACGAGGAGGAGAGAAGCAGCAGGAGAAAAAGCTAAAAAAGCCTGGAAAGAAGCCGAAGAATCCAAAACGCAAAAACTAAAACGCAGCCTGGAAACCGCGGGCGCTGTTTTAGTGGTTAGCAGGTAGAGTGTTGGGGTCCTGTGGAACTGAGATGGGACCATTAGGAGTGCGTGTTACATGGTTGGGAGTGCGTGACCCCATACCTGTAAAACTACCCATAGGAGCCGAAGGCCCAAGGGCAATACCTTAACGCCTAAAAGCCACGGAGAAAGGAAAACACCGCACATCAGCCCAGACTAGCGTCCAAAGGGGGTAATCGAGTTGTGGTGAGCCCACATATGCTCCAACATCCTCGCTGGACGTGCTGGCTCCCATTTCATGGCCTCCAACATGCTCTGTTGATGGTCGAATCCCTCTTGCGCACGCTGGGCATTCCAATAACACGTGTTTTTCATCCTCGACTTGGCTATTGGTGCCACAACAACGGCAAAACCGCTGGCCAATGGGGACATGGTACTTGCCCCTTCGTGCTCTGTTTGCTTCCAAAGCCCAGCAACATAAACGAAACTGCATTAGCTTACAATGTGCTAAACGAGGAATGAGAACCTTAGCATGTGTTGGCCACTTAACGGCTGCGGCTCCCGAAAAGGGCAGCCCCATCCAGTGCTTATACTTCGCCATTTGCACTCCCGGTTGCTTCCCATCTGATGGGTACTCCTCTGACAAGACAGTCAGACGCGCATGGTTTCAGCGTTCATCAAACGCTCCCTTAGTGCCGTGCATGTAACGGGGCGCCACACCACCACCCTCATGTGGACCACGCAAGAGTGCCTAATCCAGCACTGCCGTAGGCTGGATGAGACGCAACATTGACTACGATTAAGCTTCTCATTCCCTTTAGTTCATCCCCTAAAGGGGACTAAAGGGGATTTGTTATAAGTCCGTCTACACAAGTAAGCGCTAACGGCTTCCCAACCAACAAGTTGACCACGTGGCTCAGGAATAGCAACGTGAACTAAGTGGCATGTCCATGCTAATGAGGATGAGGCTGATTCCTTGCGCCTTCTTCGAACCGGAAGTTGTGTTGGAATACTCCACAAATTAGTTGGATCTTGATGTGCAAACTGTGGCGCTAGATGAGTGTGGTGTATGTGTCGGAGATGTGTGCGAGCTTGTTGTCGGTAGTTGGTCGGTTGTGATTCCAATGCACCGATTGTGTTGCGGATTGTTCAAGCCGAAAGTTCACATAGAGATACCCCAATGAAGAGAAATGACAAAGTCAAGGTCTGCAGCTGCCGCTACAGGACTGCAGGGGCACTCGTGGGACACATTTTCCGTTAACACCACAAGAAAGGCGACATCGTGTCCAACTTGGACGTGTGCACGGGAATTGCTGTGGCTGCTGCTGCTGTAGCTGCTGCCATTGTTGCTCCTGTTGTTGCTGCTGTGGCTGCTGTGGCTGCTGTGGCTGCTGCTGTTGCTGTGTGTAGTATGCTGAAGACGACGCAACCACAGGGTGCTGCAGGGTGCTGCAGGGTGCTGCTGCACTACCTGCAATTGTGTGGTCTGTTGTTGTGATGGCTTCAATACAGTTGCATTTGCTGCATCATTCCCACTGATCCCACATCGTGGCCATAGTGAGACCAGCATCCAATATCCGCCATTGTTTTTCATAATTGTCGAGTTGAAGGTCGTATATGTGGGACACAAGCCATGAGAGGCATTTGGGGGGAAATGCTGGAAGTAATCCAGGCAAAGGGACGTATATAGGTTTCTTAACGTACGGCCCTACGTCCAGTATTGGACGGCGCAGCATTAATGCTGCGCCAAAATCCCTCTTGTCTTTTGAACCTGTGTTACGACATTAACTTTGCCTTATCTTATGCATGACACTACAATTCCTCGTAACTCCAGTATATCAACATAGATGCACGTATGCATGCATTCTACTATATATAGGGTTTGGCACCACAGGTAAGGCGCGACCATTGCCCCCGGGGGATCCCGGGATCGATACCCGTTAGAGTCAAAGTTCTTACGATGGTGGAAGGCATTTCGCTCCTAGTTGATGGACGATGGTGACCTGGGATAAAGTTGACTCGCGAGCCAACCAGGAACGGAGTTGGGCCGCTGTCGACCCGGCGGATTCCGTTGGATGCTGGTGGTGGGTGCGGAACCTGAGCGATCCACTGAAAAGTTGACTAGGGTGACTGGATGAGGGTGCCCCGAAATACCGGGGAAGGCAGGGTTTCGCAGAGTAGCTGCCACGGGCGAAGATACACCCCCCTGTTTCACACATCATACTACTGCTGCGGTTTGCAACTTGGCGGTAAGTTCGCAAAACCTAGTTGCCATATTTATGTACTCATGATAATGGCCCTTTATAATAGTGTGATTGCCGCTTTAGATAGCTCCACCAATGCAACTGTAACAGCCGTCTCTTACCTTAGCTGTTTTAGCGGAAGCGGAGGGTCTCGTCCACGATTGACGACCCAGAGTTAGGCGCGAGAAGAGACAAGGGAAGTCGGGATTCGAAGACATACGTCGAGAACGGTGACAGCAAGGTCTTGAACCCTGAACACTAGTATAGTGATACAGAAGTGTCTGGCCGAAGCACTTCACCTGGGTGGCTTAAATGCGGCCCACCTGCCGCCATCTCCATTCCTGGAGTCTTGGTGTCGTACGCTAGGTTGTGATAGCGTACCAGAAAGTGAGTTCGTACAGTTAACGAGTATGGTTCGTAAATACGGGACCGTACCGTTACTGTGATTAAGCTTTAATAGCTTAAAGATATTCTAAGGTAAATGTAGCTTGCTACATCCCTCCCCCTCAGAAGCGAACCGTCCCGGGAGCGTCACCTTTTCTTGCGAGCAGGTGCTTTCCGTTTCGGTTGTTCTGGGGTAATGTTCCGGGGTGCTACCGAAGGAGAGGTGGTCAAGGCCGCTTGGCCCTCGGATCCATGTCCGTTCAATTACTATGGATGTATATATGGCCAGAAAAGTGGAATTCGACGAGTAATTACTGTGTTGAAGGCATTATACGATTTGGCTTCGGAGCACACATATATTCGTGACGACCATCGCCTGGAACAGCTTGTAATTTATATGTGACATAATTTCGTGATGCCGTCACGAAATTAAAATCACGAACATTTCCTGTCACTACGGTACACGAAGCAAACATGGTAACAAGAGATGGCACGTTACAGCTGGCATAACTGACCTACCATGGCAGCATGCGACAGTTAGCCAACCCTTAGGGTGTATTTCCAGTGCGGATTAAGGCCAGGGATTAGCGTTAATTCCTGTGCTAATCCCAGCAGTGGAAATCCCACTGGGATTAAGGAATTCCTCAGGACACCGTGCTCTCTATTCAGAGGACTAGCAGGAGTTAGCAAGAGATAGGAAAGAACATAAATTGAACTTGATGTCCATGTATTTACCTGGCAACTTGTGACAACAAAGTTATTACCTGGCCCCACCCAGGTAGTAACTTTCCGTATCTGGATTAGCGTTAATGGCGTTATATCTTACTTTAATTTCTAGGTAATTCCATATGGATGACCTCAAGTAAGCAATATCTGATTTGGTTTGCGCGAAAGGTGCTACTTCAATGTCAGGCCTCAACGGTGGCCACAACGGCGAGAAGAGTGCGCTTCCTGCCCATATTTTATACTCATACGATGCCTAATGCCCAAAGCAATTCAGAACTGGTAATTTTAGCTTCGAGATCGCATCAAGAAATGTGCATCGCCCTTTGTACGGCCTTAATCCCCGCGCTAATCCCAGGCCTTAAGAATTGCCAGGGATTAGCCGGGGATTAGCCGGGAATAGCGGGACCTTAATCCCTGGCCTTAATACGCACTGGAAATACACCCTAAGTGGGGTGGAGCGGCAGTTATCTTACCCTAACTAGAGGATGCTAGCTGGCTAATGGAACTGAATGTCCGTGAAGAAGGGTAACGTTGCGAAACTAGTTTCCGTGCTTTCGGACCCTAAGAGGTCTAGGTCTGGGGGCACCGCTACGCCGGCTCCGGCCGGAAACTTGTTCCAGCCCAGTACGACTAGCGCCGTAAGCGGCACCTATTTAGTATCTTCAAAGCTTGCGCTTGGTCCTTAAGCCTGTGAAAGTTTTAAAAGTTTCATTTTTTCCTTTGTGTGGAATGTCTGGGACAATGTTTATAATTAAGGGCCAGTGTTAGAAACGCAACTGGCGCAAAAAGGGCACCTGAGATCGGAGGGAATACAGTTGTACACCTTAGGCGGGTAGCAATCGAGTGTTTAGAGGTGCCCGAGAGCGCTCTGCATGTGCGTTGAAGGGCCCATAGCCCATAGAAAACGTGTGAAATGCATAAACGTCATAAATTACAGCATTTTAAGGGTTCCGAGAGCTTCCGACAGGTTCCGACAGTTTCAGGATTACGAAGTTTCGCTGGAGAGGTCAAAGTGTTTCGCGGTCGCAAGTACAGTCACGGCCCTAACGCTGTATACACGAGAGGTCTACAGAAAGGCCTGCATACAACGAACATATTAGACTCGACAGCTTTACACAACGTCTACACATGATAACCTACAGGCCTATGGGCCATGCTGTATACATATAGATTGGCTATGTATACGATTCATCTATAGGAAACATATTTCGAGACCCTGCCTATTATCTTCATCACGGGTACGGCAGCCGTACGGCAGGGTGCAGAAATTCCCCCCAAAAGGCAGGTTCGCGCAGTTTTGAAGCTATAAACTTCATCATTAGGTTACCAAACCTTCCATTTTACAAGGCGGTAAACGGTACATCGGCCCGCAGACACTCTTTCCTCGGTTTTTACCAAAAAAATTTCCATACAGTTATTCGACCCTGGCACCAGTACCCGTGACAGTTATTCAGGTTTTGCCGACCTCTGCTTACTACCCTCAGCAGCATAATATTTTTAACCATAACGACGTACTCTACTGCTGCTCGGAGCCCGCCTTCGCATCATATTCCAAACGGCAAGGCAGATTCGCTGTGACGGTTAGTGAATCGGCGGTGAACAGCATTGCAAATACAATAAGCACAGCGCGTCCGTGGGCTAATCTCATTTCAACATAATATTACTATACGGGTTGCACGGCGCTATTGGGCTGAACATCGTCATCACCGAGCCGGCCGCTCGAGTGGGCGATCGAGCGAGCGCGCTCCAGGAAGGGGCAGCAGGTGCTTGTGTGCGAAAACGAAATACAGAGCAATGCTTAATCACTGCTCGGTCTCGCACCTTAGCTTTGTGTGTAACTATTACATAAAAGATTAGCCACCGTACTTGCGCGTTAGCACTGCAGCTGCTGCTGGTGAACTGATCATACTCCTTTCGGAAAAGTGAATTTCACTGCCCCACCGCACGCACATTACTGCTTTACAGGGAGCAACGACAGTTCGAGCTGGTAGGGCTGTGAGATATGTATGGCCAGGAAAGAGCGCACTGAACGCGTTCAGGCGCCGCCCTTGTGCATGCGGCAGCATTGTGCATTTCCGCCGCTCGACACTGCTGTTCTTGTTCACAAGCAGAGGGAGCACCGACGCGCGACATGGTATATAAACGGCAACACCTGCATCTGCTGCTTGCAGCCATGCTGCTGGCCCCGCTTGTTACGGAGGGTGGGTCAGCAAATAGTGAGGGTATGCCGGCAGGCGCGCGCCACAGCCGAGGAAGTAATAAGGAGCCGTGTGTTTAATGAATGTACGAAAAGCGAATTTATAGCAATAATAAATAGTAGGTAGTATTTTCACCGGCGGACGACCGACGACGACACCAGCTATGCAAACTAACGGTAGTACTATTTACTAACAGCGACGGAGGTAGGACTGCCGCTGTTGCTGGCGGTGCTGGGTAGGCAACAGATTTACCTTTCTGTGCGTCCGATCGCCGGTCGCCGTACGTAAATCGGTACATAACGTACGTAAATCGGTACATAATTACGTAAATCCGCCGCCGCGGCGGTAAATAAGAATGCTCGCCGCAGCCCATTCACGCGTGTTTCATGCCTCACGCGTGTTTTATGCCTCATGCCTCAGCCATGCCGTCAGCAGCGGATTTTTGTGCGTGTACGGTGGTTCCACACTTAAATATGTCCTGACTAGATAGAAATATACACCTTGCGAACATCCCGCCTGCTGACTCTTGAGGAAGTTACTAGAGGTCGATAAACGAGGTCACTATACCTGGTAAAACGTCTGGATGGAAATAAATAATAGACTAGGGACGGCCCCTATGACACGAGCGAGGGTGTCGCCTACAGGCGATCAAAAGTTTGACTGACGTCCTTGCGTGCCAGCTGACTCAGGCTGACTCTTGCTTTCTTGCTTTCTTGCACATGAAGTGCATGATGACGCTTCCCAATTACCTCTACAGCTCCACTGTCAAATCCACTATGACGATGCCTGGAAGTTGCAGCTCCACCTGACATACATACATGCATGCCAACCAACAGGGCTTGCTGCTATGACATCCCTGTCATCGCGGGATATGACCAGACAGGTGACAACGTTGCCATCCGTCGGTGGCGGGGACCTTAATAGCGGAGGCAGCAGCAACCTGCATATGCATCATCACCACCGTAAGCTTCAGCAGCAGCAACAGGGAACAGCAGGGGCAGCTGCAGTTCCAGGTACGGATGCGTGTGTCGATCTCGACGAAAGTTGTAGAGAACCCTGTAGCAGCGGTCACCAGTACAGCAATTCTCGCGTGTGGAAGCCCTCTTTGCGCGAGAGGACTCTTCGGCGGCCAGCTACTACAACCCCCCTCCACACACACATAGCTAGATGCTGGGGCGGGGCTAATAACGTGTAAAAGAGCTGAGTAAGTGTATAACAGCGACACGCTAACTTCTCTAGGAATATGCAAAGCTTCAGCAGCAGGGAAAAGCATCCACTGCCAAACGTGTTCTTTTGGCAAAGGAATATTATTGGTCCATGTATTAGTTGTGTTAAGAGTTGTTGTAAGTACAATCTCCTCTGCCGGAGTAGGAGGCTTCTGGTAGCGGTTCGAGCTAGTCTCGGTATGGGATATGCACTTGCCAAAGATATATAGAGCTGCCGTCCCGATCCAGCATCTACTCATCCACGAGCTATGGCTTGCTTGAACGTACTGTGTTGTGGTGCTCCCCTCCCCTCCCCCCTTGTCCATCCCCAGTCATGATGCTGCCCCGGGTGCCAATCCTCGGGATTGTTCAGAATCTCCTGTCGCCAAATCACCTGTACGCCGTCAAGTACAGGGGTGTTTCAGCGACTGAGATGCACATCACTACGCTTTCCAGCAACTACACCAAATTCAGCCTGCAAATAGCCACGGGGCTCCCCTTTACGGCCCCCTCCACCTTCCAATTCCTTCTGGGCTCTAATGACGACCTTTACGCCATAAACCTTACGGATATCAGGAGGCCTGAACTGACCATCCTGCCTAGGACTGATAATTACCGCACTTTAAGCTTCAAGGGACCCATCGGCATCCCGCCTGGCATCATCACCAATTCCACAGCTGTCCAGTTTGCTCTGGGCACGGGCGACACTCTCTTCATGGTAAAGCCAGGAGGGGCTGATTTTACGGAGATTTACATCCTTCCCCGTGTCCCCAACTACACCAAGCTGGCAGCTGTGGTCTACACAGCTCTCCCTGCAGCTAGCCCGTCGCTGTATCGATTCCTGCTGGGTGCAAACGATGACCTGTATGCTGTGAAGTACGGGGGAACGGCGTTTGTGGAAGTCACCATCCTGAGCAAAGCTTCCTACTATCAGAGTATGATAACACTGCCGACCAACATGACGAAAACCACTGCGGCCGAGTATCAATTCCTCGTCTTGGCATCGAGGCCAAATGTACTCTATGCAGTGCCAAATGGAGGTATGCGGGTAACTTCTGTGCCATTTGGGTTGCTATGTTACTGTAGCTGTAACTGCTGTGAATGGATGGATGGGTGGGTGGGATAAGGATTAGAGCATGCATGGGGACAATGAGCAAACGCACACACAAGCACACACATTCGCACAATTTCCTGAACCCTGCCCGCTCCCCCCCCAACGGAGGATTGGTTGAGATACCGAGCTTTCTAATAGGACCTTGTGCCTTAGTAGGGAAGGGTAGGGTCTGCACGTTTCCTCTGTCTTAGTGAACCCTCACCCAAAGAGCCGGATCAGGCCGGGGATAAAGAGGAGTCTTGTTCCATGTTTCAGGCTCAGTGCGCAAACTTGTGTGACGGAGCCTTGACTCGTGCGAGCGTGCACGTGTATGATGCCACCCTCCCCTCCCTCCGGGGGAAGGAGAACGGAGCTAGCGGACCTGCTGCTCTCGGCTGTTTAGGAGGGGGCAGAGACCCCTCGCGGCCCTCTCCCGTCCGCGGGAGAGAGCTTAGGCGGTCTCTCCGTTGGGGCAGCAGGCAGCAGTCCCTGGCCAGTGTCAGGCCCAGTCAGATACTTGTCACCTTCACACCCACGTGCGCGCACATGCACACACACGCGTACAAGGACCCCTCGAACTGAAACAACCCCCCCGGTGCGGGCTGGCTGAGCCTACGCCTGACACAGCTTTGCGTAGCTTGGGTTTTGCCGGGTAGCTCGTTGCGGAGGGGGGTTAGTGTGGTCAGTTCTGGTTGTAGGGCACAGCTTCTGGGCTTAAGACGCCGGTAGGGCGGCCCCTCACGGGGAGGAGGGGCGCCCGGGTGTTGCAAGGACCTACCGGGGTGGGCAGCCGCGCCTGCTCAAGCCGCAGGCTGCATGGACGGAGCTGCGCCACAGCCGCGTTATTTGCTTAAGGGCTTTGATAGCCACCGCGCTCACTTCCCTCTTGACAAAAAAGGGGAAGGGAAACGCGGCGTTGCACACTCCCGATCGTGCAGGAGGGGATAGGGGACCCTCACGCCCCTCTTCCCCCACAAAGGGCCCCTGGCCAGAGTCAGGCCCGGATCGATATGCAACAAATACATGCACACACACATACAGGTATTTCTTCATGGCGGGTTTGCTGCAATGACCACTGGCATTATACCTAACAGTTATCTGCTAGCCAATAAATATTCACCATTATGGGGAACTGTGATACCACAGGACATCACACACCCATCTCGTATAACTACACGCTAATAATTAAGTGCATCTCAAGCTATCTTTGCTTCGCCGCTTCGCCTTTATCCCTTGCATGCAGGTGGCTTCCCTCCGCCGCCGCCTTCGCCGGCTCCACAGCCTTCGCCGTCGCCCCCGGCGCCACCCCCACCGCCAAGCAGCTGCACGAGCGCCTTCAGCTGCCTCCCAAGGAACTTCACGAGCAGCCGTGGGCTCCTCCAAGATCCCTTCAGCCTGATTGGCGGAGGCTCCCTCAGTACGGGTTCAGGGAAGATCTTCTCCGACCTGTCCATCGGTGCACTTGTGGAGATTGCGAGATCATCGGCCGCCGGGGGCCAGATCTGCCCCTTCGTCTCTATTACAGGCAGCCAGATAGCGCAACTGGCCGCGGGCTTACCAGGAGATGTGGGAGGCTTCAACCAGTCGAACCTAGGCAGCGTACGCGAGGCGTGTCTCTCAATTCTTAAACAGCTCTCAAAGTCTACTCGCTACGTGGTTGGTTTCATTGCAAATGTAAGCATGTACGTGCGTATGTATGTTTGTACGTCAGTGGCTCATGTAGTGCTCTTAATAGCATTCCGCCGGACTAAGAAGGTGCACTAGGCAAGCATCGCACCGCTAACTAACACCGCTAGCAAAACACTCGAAACACGACTTCCTTTCCGTACAAACATGCATTTGTACGGCAAATCATGCGTGGATGGGCGGACTGGGGCCTGCGTTAGTAACACGTTTATTTGTCTATTATTTAAGAAATGATTTTTTTATCGTCGATAGATTGCGCCCTTGTATAATAGAATGGACGATCTCTATCTAATGTGCCAGGGCACGCGAGATCTGCAGGCGATCAAAAGAACACAGAAAATGTCGCCAAATTGATGGCTGGACAGAAACTCATCCACCCGCAGCAGCAGGTTGCCGTGGAATCCAGCAGCATCGTAGAGGCAGGACCCAAATCGTTATCGGATGCAAGCCCACTAACCCCCTTTATGGCCGTAGGGAGGCACATCGCCGTCCCACCACAGGCAAGGAGATATGCACGGAAAGCACTAAAGCTTCTGTGCGCTTGCTAGCTTGTATTCTAAATAGATGCATGCCCTGCACGCTACCTAGCTACCTAGCCTGCACCGGAAGCTGGCATGCGTACCTTTATTACTTCCCGCCTGTCCCTGCTGAAACAAGTGCGACCAGCAGTGTACGTTCGAATTCAATAACTGCTTATGGCCATGCATGAATGCATGCCCGCAGGATCTCCCTTCCTCCTCGGGGGTGAACACAAACCTTTCAAAAGTCCTGTAAGTTCTGGATGGACAACCTGGTAGGGCTTGTGTGTTCATTTCCCCTTGTCGCGTTCGTTGTCCTGCTTCCTTAGGATATCGGTGGGCATCGGTGTCGATAAGGGTGGCGCTGTTACGTATACTTGCAACACTTTCTGTGTTACTGTCTCCCTTAACTGGTTCTGGTGGCTGAGGACTGGCTGACCCGATGGTGCTGAACGGTGCGGTTTGGACGATTTGTTGGCGAGAATTGCACCGCTGCCAAGGGCCTTACACAGCAGAAAGAGCAGACAGCCAAGCCTATCAGTGGCCGCGCGGCCCAACCGGCCAGCAGGCCGCCCGTAGCCACGGGGGCCGCGCGGCCGACCGCGGCGCGACACACCAGACAGCCAACAGTCCGGCACACACCGCGAAAGGGCGCCAGCGCCCAACACCAAAAACCAAAACAAAGCTAACCTAAGAAACAAAAGCACTGCAGCACCCGCGCGCCCCGAAGACCTTCACACCAGACAAAGCCCGACCGACCAGAAACGACCAGGCACCAACCCCAAGGGGTGTTCCCCCTCATCCCGGATGCGGGCGCCTCGGCCCGCCCCCTGAACCACCCCCCTCCCGCGCGCGTGCTGCCTCCCCCTGCCACCAAGCTGAGGGGGGGAGGGCGCCTCTCAGGAGCCCGCCGACGCCAGGCCGAGCCAATCAGTGCTGCATCTGGGGCAAGACTGGGGATAGCGGAAAAAGGAATCAAGGGGCTGACAGGGACAGGGCGGGCGGGGGGCAAGTACAGCCTGTCGCACTGACTATTGGACAAGGCTGTATGCTCTTCTGCGTGAAGGCAGAATGACTTCACCAGGAGAGCAGCGAGAATTAAGTCGCCACTGCGAACCAGCTGTACGACAGTACCACAGAACGAGCCTTAGAAGCTCCGGTCGCTTCGCTCCGTCGCGTCTAAGCCAACAATTCGTTGCAACACTTTCGTTTGCCGTAACAAGCTGCATTCGGTATATGCTTTCAATCGACAAGCTAGCTGGTGCGTGGACGGAGGACATACATTTCATGCAAAGGCGCATTACGGGATTCTGACGTCCGCCGATCGGTGCATTTTCTGTAGCCGTGATACAACACGCGTGACATGCATGTCAGACATATGTCTGATGTCTGATGATCCCACACAAACAAACACGCCCCCTTTCCCCCTGGCGTCTGCTCGCTGCGTCTCGTGTCGCTGCTAAACGCTGCTGTTGATGCTTGCTTGCTTGCATAACTTCAGTTCTGCCGCGAACGTTTCCATCTGCGCCGCCATCAATCCCTGCACGGGGGTCTACCAGTTCGGATTTAATGTGAGTTAAAATGTGCGGATGTTCATGCTAAGTGCACCGATATCTATACACTTAGCAAGTAAACCTATATGCAAGTTACAAGTTACAATTTCCGCACACAAGTGCGGGTGTGTCCGTAAAAGCCGGGGGGGCCATGGACGTTGTATTGCTATTGGTACGCGGGAGGTCAACATCATTCTCCCTCGTCCGCTTCAGGGTGAAGCGCATCAGCGATATACCTGTATAATTATATAATTATAATTTACCTATATATAGAGAGAGTGTGTGTGTGAGAGAGAGGGCGGGAGAGAGAGGGCGGGAGAGAGAGGGAGAGAGAGATACGATATCTAGTACATAGATAAACAGAAATAGAGAGATAGCGATGGAGATAGAGAGATAGAGAGATGGAGACACCTACCACCGGCAGCCGACGATAATCCTAATAATCATGCCACCAAAACGAGTGCAACAGACAAGTGAGCGAGAGAGCGACCGCATGCAGACATACATGCAGACCTAGCGGCACGTCATGCCACGATATCATTACCTGCTGTTGCTGGGAGCTCAACGACGTAACTTTACACCTGCACTTGTTCGGATGGAATCCATTTGTAGTTGCTCGGCATCACACAACAGACATGTCCTGCCGTGTGCATCTTCTCACATGCGTGCAGAACCCTTCGCGGCAGGAGCTGTCAGTGTCTCAGGATCCTCTCTTCACCTCCAACTTTACCCTAAGCACGCTGACTTTTAGCAGCGACCCCAGATTGATGCCCACTATGGATCTGCAGCGCCTATGGAACCCCACCCTAAGCCCCATGGCCGGAGGCACCATTTCAAATTATAAGTTCAACGGCAAGATGATGGTGCAGGGCTCGCGGCTTGGCTGGGAACGAAGCACCAGTTTTGATCTCCGGGCCAGGCGTTCCAACCAATCGGTGGCTTTCTTTGATTTCTACAACACTGATACAGTTCAGCTAGCATGGGGTAAGTCATGAGCGCCGGGGTGGTGGCTCATTATTTGTTTTCTTGCGCGTCCGCCTTTGCTGCTGCCTGCTGCCTTTACTTTCCAATAGCGCGCAACAAGCTTGTGTTAAGATGTCCGGTGGCTCAATGTTTCCTATCGCTCGGTTTTAAATGATTGCAAGAGCAGCAGCAAGGTTGTCGTTTGTAGATAGGCGTCCGCAGTTGTACCATGTACTACATGCATATGCATGCTATTTGGGCAATCTTCGGCTGGCCCTGTGCCCCCTCAGGGCTCGCATGGGCCCGTTACACCCTTGGAGAGTAATAACGCAACCATGTACCTATGGCATAAACACGTCGGGGGTAACCCCCCCTAAGTGTAACCCAGGGGATAGGGGTAGGGGTAAGTGGTTACCCTGTGGCTATGTACGAAGGGAGGTGGCTATCCTAACCCCGGGGTAGGGGTAACCCCTTACCAAGGGGTAACAAAGGGGTCGGGGTAATACACTACCGAGGGTAACAGACATACACATGCACACACACGCACACACACATGCACACACACGCACACACACGCACACACACGCACACACACATGCACACACACGCACACACATGCACATGCACACACACGCACACACACACACATGCACACACACGCACACACACATGCACACACATGCACACACACGCACACACACGCACACACACGCACACACATGCACACACATGCACACACATGCACACACATGCACACACACGCACACACATGCACACACATGCGCGTGTACGATTATAGGACTTAGGGTTAGGTAGGGTTCCGTTCGTTGGCCTAGCATCAATGTCGTCAAAATGCTTAGAGAGGCGGCGGCCAAGGCACAATCCTTAGGCCATTTTGTTTCCATCATCAGAAATCCTCCTCACCACGTTTATCAGGTGTCATTAGATTAACCACTATAGATATTGGTCGTAGAGCGTAGTATCCTGATCACGGGGTCTACATCCGCCGATCGTTACTTTTCTGAAACATAGGGTCACCCAACGGTTGGGTAACTACTACTGCTGCTGCTGCTGCTCCTAGCTGCCGGCATGGACGCCTTTTTCATCGCCTTTAAATCCCATATACCTAGTTCCTATATCATAACCAGGGCACGATCCATAGACTTTAAAATCTTTACAGTAGAGCCGCATGCATGTACTAAAAGGCACAAGCACAAGCACAAGCAAGCAGGCAGAAGGAAGGAAGCAGCAAGGAAGCCCGCTTTGCCTATCCTGTGCTTATCGCCACAGACCCCCTAAGGATCGGTGCAGGCCCCGAGGGCGGTGACGTCCGCATGGGAATGATCATCGACTCCTATCCCAGAGTACGTGTATTTGGATACCTTGATTGTGCGAAGGCGGGGGGTTGGATGCTTGTGCTTATTTGTGTATGTTGCTGCACTGCGCACTTTGCGCCAGAAACACCCTCCTGCGCAGAAAGACGAAGTAGTGCGTGCATGCGAGGATTTGATAGGATGCATCCGATCTGCCAGCTTACTGATGCACCGTATGCTGCCTTGTTATTATATACAGCTATGTTTCAGCCTTCCGTACATTCCAGATTACCGCCGATCGATGTGCATAGGCAGGTGCGCCCACTCCTACTTATAGAACCGGCTGGCCTCATTGTGTGTTAGTAGTAGTTTGTACATATGTATGTACATGCTCAGCTGGCGCTGCAAGCGGACATACAGTTGGTTATGGCGTTCCTCCACTTCCCCAGGTCATATTCTCGGACAAGATGGACTTTGAACCTTTTGAAGGCTACGTGGACCCCTTCACGCTCCATGGACTTTGGTAAGCGGCAGCAGCATGATCGATCGATCGAACATCCGAGCATTCGATTGATTGCACAACCAGCGTTGGTGAAACGCTTGGGGGACAGGGGGACATATCTACACCCGTGGCCGCTACCCTGCGAAACCCTGCCTTCCCCGGTATTCCGGGGCATCCTCATCCTGTCACCCTAGTCAACTTCTCAGTGGATCGCTTAGGTTCCGCACCCACCACTAGCATCCAACGGAAACTGCCGGATCGACGACGGCCCAACTCCATACATGGTCGGCTCGCGGGTCAAGTTATGCCCAGGTCACCTCTGTCAATTGACTAGGGGCACTTTACCTTCCACCACCCGGAAGGATTTTGAGACCCTGATAGGTCTTGATCCCGGGATTTCCCGGGAGAATTGGTCCGTGCCTTACCAGTAGTGGCTATCGTACAATATATAGTATGGTGAGAAGTATGGAGGGGAGCATGTATCGAGGGATGGAGTGACGTATGGAGGGAGGGATGTATGCAGGGATGGACGGATGGGACCCAGGGTGGAGCGAGGGATGGCGTGCATGGCATCCGTTCACAAGTCCTGAATTTCCAAGCGAATCAGATGTAATAACACACGCCCAAATGTTCTTATTTGTCATCATGTTGCTGTGCCGCCTGAATGCAGGGAAACCTACTCAAACGGAAGCTATATGCTACAGCTTTCCACGGTGTCGCCTATCCGTATGGAAGATGCTCTCCAGAACCTGGGTTACCCAATAATAGACACGGTGTACGGCCTCTTCCCTTACCAGCCCTTCTACCATAACCATAATTACAAGGACGACTGGGACACCACAATATCCTGGTTTGTCACTCCAGAGACCTTTGCGGTGCGTCTCGACATCCAGTCTTGGGACGACCTAACCGTGTATCCGGATCGGGGAGTGCCCCAGCCACAAGACAGACGGCTAGGAGTGATATTCATCGACACGGTGAGAGTTTAAATACTTAGTATATGTATTATATTATATATCTATTATAAACATAATGTATATTATACTATTATATTATGTATTATATACTACATACATGTATAATATATGTAATATATTTTTGTATAAATATATATAATATATAAATATAAATAATATATAATATATAAATATAAATAATATATTTTATATTATTTTATAAATAATAAATTATTTATAAAATAATATAAAATAGCGGACAGGAGGTGCACATACAACTTGAAGTCAACGCAGGGGACAACCACAGCATCTCTTATATAAGAGGTGTTGTGGTTGTCCCCTGCGTGGGATAGATATATCTATCCCCGGTTCCGTTGCCGTAACACACGCCTTGCCCATCTGCATTCACGTATGTGGACGGCGCCATGCAGGTAGGGTTGAAAGTACCCTTGTATCCATCTGTGCATACGTACGGAACATGCATCTGGTCTGGTCTGGGTTGACACTACTGCAATTAGCGGTTTTAGGTCCTGGGTTCGATTCCTGGGGAGACCCCTGAATTAGTCGGGAGCGCGAGATTATGGCTAGCTGCTGAGATGTGGAGTTGAGGTCACAGTTGATGGACCAGATTCGCACGCTGGATTGGTGGCGATTGCCGAACCCTCCGTCTCTTCGGGTGTTTGGGTGAATGGATGAGGAGGGGTCCCTGAAGGCTGGATCCGCCGCCTTGGACTTACAGTTCGTATGGCGAAGACAGTGTGGTAGTGGTGGATGGTGCTATAAGGTGATAAATGATCGTAGAACTGACAATGTGATAAAGCGGCCCAGAAGCCTCCCACTCTGTAACATTACTTACTTACTTACATGCATACATATGTATGCATGCACGAGGTGTCCAGCAGGTAACAAGTGCACGTGGCACACATATTAAGCATGCATAACGTGCATTGCCTGGTGCCATGCATGGCCATATGGCCATCGATGGTACGTATGACAGTGTATTTTTTTTCCGTAATATATTACGGTTCCGTAATAAAATGGCAAATTTGCGTTCTGCGCTCCGTCATGGTAAAGGCCTGGTACGGTCGTTACGGAGCAGGGGCGGGCCGAAGGCCCCCAGAGACGTTCTATTTTAGTATAAATAAGTTATAAATGAGCGATGGGGCCCAAGAAATTAACTACTATAGCTGGTCAGGGTAGCGTCAAAGCATTCCTGACCACCGGCAGGCCAAAACCCAGTAGCAGCGATGCTGGTAACACTTCAAACAATATAGCGAGTACAAGAGAGACATTAGAACCAGATGACAGGGCGCCTCCCGCACGGCGCCACGCTTCAGCCAGTCAATCCCACCAACAGCCTGTTGCAGGCCAGGAAGCAGCTCAGGCGCACCAGGCTAGACGCCCGGAGCCGGTTGTATCACCATCGAAACGACGTAAGCTCAATGAGCCATCGGCTGGCTCTGCTGGGGCAGGTCCATCAGGCACACTGCCAGCGGACTTCTACACCCGCTCGTCCTTCCCGTATGACAAGGCGGTGGAGAAGTGGCTGCAGAGGGCTGAGAAGCGTGGCCGTTACATGCACAACTGACGAGTTTGCTATGCCCTGGGACATTGTACTGGCTGCGGTGTCGTGGTGAAAACGTATGACATAATCCTGAACGCATGTGGCAACGGACGGAAACAGCTGAGACTCTAATGAAATATTCATTAAATATGTGCTGGTGTATCAGGTACCCTGTGTGGGCAGGGGGGGTCTGGGGGGGCTTGCCCCCCCAGAAAAAAATTCTGGCAGTAATAAACGTATTGGACTGATGGCATATTTATTACGGAACTCGTAACAGATTCAGGATCGGCCTCCACGAAAAAAAAAACACTGACGTATGTATATGGAAAATATACATCCTGGGTTCGATTCCTGGGGAGACCCCCGAATTAGTCGGGAGCGCGAGATTATGGCTAGCTGCTGAGATGTGGAGTTGAGCTCACAGTTGATGGACCAGATTCGCACGCTGGATTGGTGGCGATTGCCGAACCCTCCGTCTCTTCGGGTGTTCGGGTGAATGGATGAGGAGGGGTCCCTGAAGGCTGGATCCGCCGCCTTGGACTTACAGTTCGTATGGCGAAGTACAGTGTGGTAGTGGTGGATGGTGCTATAAGGTGATAAATGATCTAGAACTGACAATGTGATAAAGCGGCCCAGAAGCCTCCCACTCTGTAACATTACAAAAAATTACATTACATACATATATATACTATATATACATTACATCGCCATGTCTCTTATTACGCATTAATGGCTGCTGCAGGGCTCTGGATACACCGCGTCGGTAGTTAGCAACGGCAAGGCTTATCCCATCGATATCTGATGCTACTGCTGGGGGCAGTAGTTACAAGTTACAAGTTACAAGTTCCGCACACAAGTGCGGGTGTGTCCGTAAAAGCCGGGGGGGCCATGGACGTTGTATTGGTATTGATGCGGGTACGCGGGAGGTCATCTTCATTCTCCCTCGTCCGCTTCAGGGCGAAGCGCCTCAGCGCGACGTGCCTGGCCTCCCAGATTTCCGAGAGGTACCTGGCCAATGCCAGGGGTGGCGCCTCAGTCATAGTGGTGCGCATGCTGCGCCCCGTAAGGACTAGGTCACCATCATACTTAGCCCGTATGCTCTTGTAAGCGGGACATTCTTCGAAAACATGCAACTCATCTTCAACCGCTCCACAGTCACAAAGCCTGCAGGTACGCGCGGTGCGCTCACGCCCATTAGGTCTATTAACCTCTAACTCCCAACAGCCTAACCGAAAACGCATGAGCACATGATGAAGTCGCTGGGGCATGGTCCCTTTAGTGTGCTCCAGCCAATCAAGACGCGCACCCCTTGACGGGGCAGCTCCCATCCAGTTCATATAGCGACACGCCTTGGCTCCGGTAATTCCTATGGGGTAGAGGCGGGGGTCACCCAAGGTATTCGGGCACTCCCACTTTTCATGAAGCCGCTGGCAAAAACCTTAAGAATGCTCTCGACTGGCAATTTAAGGGTGGTGTAGTACGATATAAGATCATTACCGCGCGTATTAGTGGGGGGCTCCACTCCTAAGCTAGTAAGAAAGGCTAGTACCTTGCTTGCCCAACACTCAGTGGCGCCNCCAAGTGCCAACTCCAGGTCAGCGACAAATGCCCGGTGACACAACGTTCCCGGCCTCTTAACCACAGAGTTCCAAAACCTAAGTACAAGATTGGTCCAATGGAACTGGAGTGGCCTCTGTGACAGCTCGCGATATAGGGAAACCATAGTCGGGCTCCTCGCCCCAACTACGGTTCGCATGTAAGCACGTTGTTCCTGGACCATGGGATTAGCCATAGCACCTTCAAAATTCACATTAATGAAGTCAGGTCCCCAAACTTGCGCTCCATAAGAAAACACCGATACAACTAGTGTATTGTAGAGAGACATACATAGCTTGGGGGTGGTAATTTTCTTATCACGACACAGGGTGCTGAGCCCAAATGTGGCCCGCCTCCCTGCTGTGAGTAGTTGCTTGGTACAAGCTGAGAACTGCACTCCTGGGCCATAGTGCAACCCGAGATACCGTGCCGTCTCGTTGCCGGTCAGGACCCGCAACCCCACCCCACCTAACCGGTACTCAGCTTCAACAAGCCGCTTCCGCTCACGCGTAGCACCCCCAAAAATGAGGACCTCGCACTTGGCGGCATTCGCGGCCATACCCGTCGCTTTGCAGTAGGCTTCGAGTAGCCCCAGAAGGCATTCAGCTCTATCGTGCCCTGTCGCTACTAGTGACACATCGTCAACGAAAAGTAGGTTAGTGAGATCACCGCCCGCCAGGCTAACACTCTGCTAACGAAGGGTGCTCCATCGGCTGGGGAGGCATACACGGCAATTAGCATCATGGGCATCAATATAATGAGCGAATACTTCTATGAAGAGCCCAAAAAGGGTTACGCTAAGGGGACACCCTTGCTTAACACCACGCCCCACCTTGAATTCAGGTCCCAACTTATTTCCTAACTTGACCCGAAACTTCACGTCAGCATAGCTAGCCTTTAAAGAATCGAGGATGCGCCCGTGAAGCCCATACGACATTAGGAAATCCCAAAGTGTCTCATGGTCAACGGAGTCGAACGCCTTACTAAAGTCAATTTGCATGATAATAAGCGGCCTGGCTCCGGCCACAGTGTGCTTCGAGATAAGATGCCTTAATGTAAACAAGTGATGCTCGGTGCCAAAACCATGCCTACATCCAGCCTGGCTAACGGCACGTAGCCTATTGCCCTCACAGTAATTATTTAATCG